GGAATTTAAGGTTTTTAAAATTTAAGTAGTCCCTCTTGTATCTCACCACAGTTGGTGGGCAACAGCATTATCTTAGATCCACAGCCAGCAATGACAAAGGGGTTAATACTTACTTTGTTTCAGTGGCTCATCAATGGGAACGTCTAGAAACAGCTTATGAAAGTGTGCATTTGCCTTCAGCTAAAAAACAAAGCCCCACACCCAGAGACACATACCTTATTAGACAGTCTTACGACCAAGTGACCCATTCCACTTCCTGTCCTCCCAACACCTTCTCATTGTGCCCACTTGTTTTACAATAAATCCTCATTTTTGCTATGTGGCTATTAATTAAGTGTGCATCCTACTTTACCCAGACTCTAACATGCTGATGAAAAAGGAATCTACGTCCTTAGGCAACCATGAACTACAATATTGCTGAACAAGGGGGAGTCCCATGATAGTTATGGATTTACTCTTACTACATATAAACAAACAAGTCCATCTTCTGTCCTACCTGATTTGAGGCACGTTTTTTCCTTTCAACCTTGGAGTCACTCTTGATATCCATTGTAAGGAGTGGACTATCTGTGCTGCTCTTTGTCCTGAAGATTAAAAAAAGGCATCCCATATAAGCTTGGCCTCAGTTGATTAGTCGTGGTAAGTTATCAACAGGACATGCTTTTCCATGAAACGTATTAATCCTTTAACAACTACTACCTGATTCATCAAGGATTACGCAGGAACAAAGAGGAGTATCTCTTATTCTCAAACCATGCCAGCCCTCACTGAAGGGATATTATAAATTACTAGTTGTAAGGAAGAAAAATTTCAAGATATTTTTACAACTTAATGAATTATCACAGTGCTTAGCTCCACGTTTGTTAAGATAATGTAAGATAAAACTTAGTAGCTGAGAGTGCAAGGCAGTACACTGAAAGCTATGAACTTGTACTACAAAACGTGAGACCATTTGGAAAGTGCAGCAGAGAAGAAACATAAGTAACACAAGTCAGAGGATGGCTATGAACTGTGCAGTACAGTGTAATGAAATAATTAAGACAACCAGCAATCCTAGAGGAGATGAAAGGGAATTGTGAGTGCCAGTTGTATAGCAAGCTGTACCTGTATGGCTCTAGCCATTCATACTGGAAAAAGAAAAGTAACTGAAACCCCAACAACTCTAGAGTAGAACAAGTACAGACGAAAGTCTCTGCAGACGGCCAGGAAAATTGGTTTTATTTGTTTCATACAGGAGAAATTAATGGCACAGGCTGTTCAGAAAAACAAAAATAGAGGTGGGATAACAGTGTTTCACAAATCAGAAAGAGAAGAATATCATCCGTCAGAGCTATTTAGCACAGAACAAAAGCATATCAACAGGCTATAAAAATAAGGTAGCTCTTTTTTTAGAGGCCTTCAGATGCAGATGGAAGAGCTGAAGGTAAAACACAACACAGGACTCCTATACTGGATGACCTGAATAACATGTTGTGCTAAAGATTCAATGGGGAAATAAAGGTGCTACAAAAGTTTTCATTACTGCACCTTATCTTGCACAGTAAGTCTTAATTTCCTAAACTTGAGAGGTTCAGGATTCCCAGTAAAAACTGTAAGGGTGAGAGGAAGAGAACCCGCAAGTGTAACAGAGATATAGCTGGATTTAGGAAAAAGATTATACAGCAGGGCTGATATAGGTAGCAGGTGGACTGGCTGCGTATCACAGAAGAAAACTCTAAAATACATGTGTACGTGGGTTTGTGTGTCCATGCAAAATACAAGTCGAACTGAAATGAACAGTGAGCCTTACAAAAACTTAGGCCAATTTCTCGCCAGTCAATTACATTGTCTGTGAGAGGTAAGACTGGAAGGAGAGTTTACAAAAAAAAAAAAAAAAAGTAATCACATATTTCTTCAACTATCTTCTCCTAAAAGATGCTTCAGGAAATTAAGTGCTGTTTTTAAAACATCTACCTTGTGACCAAAATCACAGTGACAGGTTGACTGCTGACTTTTGCATTGGCTACTCAGTTGACAAAGTGAAAAGGCTGCAAAATTTGTATTCAAGCTCTCCAAGTGAGATTTTAGTATTATTTTGTTTTCTTTTAGAAGACTTTCAAATGCATTCCAGTTTTCCAACAAAGGAAGAATGACTGTTTTTGCAGAGACATTACAGTAATCTGATGAAATATACAGCACAGAGTCCAAAATGAAAACTTTTGTCATAGTTTTACCGCAGACAACGTTCCAGCACGAAAGTGTTCTGGAAACAGCCCAGGACTCAAATCACAGCTCAGTTTGACTGCCTGTCAACTAGTAGCTGGCATGTAACTAGCTAGTTGGATGTAACTAGCAGTGGCAACAAACAGTGCAATGTACTTTTTCCCAGAACAGGGAAGGTAAGCCAGTCCAAAGTCTAAATTCCCACTATTTGGACTGCTTGAGGAGGGTGAAAGCAATCTCTGGAAGGTTGCTCTGATTCCTGTTTACTTGCATAGTGTGCAAGCTAATCCACGAGTAGGATGCCTGATAAATCTTACTACTCAGCATAGCTTCTTGAATGGGTTGTAACCATTCTGATTATCAGACTAGAAGAAAATTGACAGTGTTTCTGACATTACCTAGCAACATCAACCTTTTTCCGATCATCAGAATATTCCATTTCACTTGTAGGGGTCTGCAGCAACACAGTAGGCAATTTTCCTGCTTTTCTTTTTTCATCTGTTCCATTTTCTCCATCTGAACTGCAGAAGGAAAAATAATTATTAAAAAAAAAAAAGAGACAGAAATGCGTATTGCAGGATTCATACTGAAATCAAATGCCACTGCAACATGCTGACAATACAGCATACATTAAAGAACAAAACTATGGCATACCTTTTATATTAAGGTCCTAAAAAGTCTTCTAGTGACTTCATAGTGTTATACATCTGAACAGTGTTCTGAGCTCCAGTACTGGAATTTCAGCAATGAAGAGAGGAAAATTGAAATACTGCCATGGATATTTGTATGCTTATAAAAGTTGTAGCTCTAGTTCCAAAGAGAATGTCTCGTTTAGGAAAAATGCATTCCACATTCAGTACTCAGACTCGATGACTAATGGAAATTCATTTGATTAGCAAGCTGGGAGAGAAACATCCTGCATGACAGTACCTAGGGTTTAGCAGATTATTTGTGGCTCAATGTTGCAAGAGGAACCTGGGTCCTATTTTGCCTCTCACTTACCTCTTCTGTGAGAGTCCACCTGGAAGATTTTCACAATAAAGGGTTCTCTCAAAGTATCAAAAGTGCTGGTTTTATTTTACAAAAGCAGTACTTCCACCACAGTGCACTGCCTTTTCACAGTACATACCACTGCCTCAGAAATGTATGTTAAGGAACTAGAGTATGAGGGCTAACTGATGTGTCATCACAGCCTCTCCCTGGCTTCCCTTTTTCTAATTTTCTAATAAAATGTTAACTCCAAAAATTTAGAGGAAAAAAGCTGTCATTAATAGCAGGATCTGAAGAATGACAATACTTTAAAATAAGACATGACAACTGTGTACATACATACTCCTTTGGAAGACTAAAGCCTCAGAAAGACTACATGATGCTCTTAGCATTAAAAAAGCAAGGCAAACTATGCTGCCTGTTACCTTAATGACTTGCCTGAATGATCCCATTTATAGAAGCTTTATATTATAATGTTTTATTTCTGCAATTTTACAGAAACGACACAGCCTCTGCCATAATGTGACAGTGTCTTCACAATAAAAAGTTTCTTCTCCTACTAAGACAAAAGTTTTGCTGACAGAGGTTTCCAGGCTAATTTAATCTGTTTTCTTTTAGGAACGGCATAAAAAGATACATTGCTTTGATCACACTTTGGTGAATAAGATTAGAAGATTCACCTCACAACAACCTAACTGAAATCTAATGAGGCAGTATCCTATCTCGCAGATAAACCAAAACTTATGTCACAGGACAAAAGCCATGGAGTTTTGCCTTACTGGTGCTAGGACTTGTTCTCAAGGGGTCTTATGTTTACATACAGCAACTATTCCTCCGTTTAATCTTTCTTCAACCATTAGCACTCCTCACAACAGGGGCACTGCATTGGCATTTCCTAATCACACTCTGTGTGTACTTGAAAGGGTTACAGCACTATCAAAGTCAATAAGGAAAAAAAACAATTGTTTCCTCATTGCTTCACTCTTCTATTGACCCTGCCTGACCACAAGGCACCAGCTTTTATTTTCAGCCAACATAAACTGGAATTAAATGGGAAAGGCAAGATATTCAAGTGGAATCCAATCTTTTGCCTGAAAAACCCAAATAAGCAGTTTTATGCTGTTTGAGATTTTAAGCAGAGAGAACTGCCAACCCAAGATGCTTCCTGCAAGCATACAGGAACTTGTACTCCAAAAGTCTGCAAATCCTACAAATGTCTTAGTCACAGTCTTGCTGTCTGTTATTTTTCTGTTCTCCAAATTCTTGGGCATCAAGGGAGGCCAGATGATATCAGACATGAGTGGGATGAGGAACAGGGTGAGGCAAAATGGTGAAGTTCAATCACACCTTCATTTCAAAAGAGCAGCACAGCACGGAAACTCCAAAGTGAACAAGACTACGTGACACAGCAGTCTTTCCAAGATGTTGTTGCCTGAGCCTGAGGCCTGACTGGTGTCCATCATTGCCTTGGGCAGCCTGCTATTCTTATACGGCAATGCTGTCGACAGATCAAAGCAGCCTGTATCACACCCACACCTCTGTACGATAAATTCGTTTCAATAATACCTACAACACAGTTTATAGTGTTCACTTACACCTACCAGCATGGTTAGACATTTTGTCGCTCTTCAACGCTCTATTTACTCACCACTCGTATTCTCTTTTCCCTCAACCATAAATTAATCTCTACTTCACAGTTAAACCTATGAGCCTGTTCTGTCCTCTCTGTCTTCCCTATTAACCAGTACTATTCCCGGATCTCTACTGTCTGAACTCATTCCCTCTAGCTGCTTTCAGATGGCGGAGAGCTAGCAGCTAATCCTGCTGACTGTTGTGTATAGAAATGCTGAGCTATCTCCTGCCAGTCTGATCACCTCTCCAGGATTGCCTTCTGCAGATCAGAACAGGGAGAACGTACCCAAACATAGAAAAAGTTTCCCCCAAAACATCTCAGGCACGAGGAGACTCACCCGTGTAACACGTGCCACTGAACAGCAGCAATTCGGTGTATTCCTACTAGCTGATACAGTTTTGCTGTGTCTGTCCTTCACCCTGTCTCTCATATGCCCCCTTCACATACCGAAAAACTATAGAAGGATTCGTCCTTACACTTCTGGTAACTATAGCTCCACACAGCAGCTAAGTTCCTCGTAGGTGTCTTTAAAGTATCAGCAGAATCTTAGCTGACTTTCCAGAGAAGGAAAGATCACAAGTATGACCTAAAACCAGTACAATATCGCTTATAAAGTCACAAGCAAATTAAAGCCCTCTTTATATTTTCATGTGTGAGTCAGGATTCACGAATACTTTGTATAAAGAGCACGAAAGTCAGCAATCCGTAAAAAAAAATAAATAATACATCAAGCACAATTAAGAAACAAAGTGAAGCTCAGTACAACTGTTGGCAGTAGTTGCATGTAAGTGAACTGTATTGGCAAGTATCAGGGCAAAGCATGTCAACTTTGTGACATCAGCACTCTGCTGATATGAAAATAAACATTTTTCAAATTCAACATATATTGTGTATTTGGTACTACTACCAAGCCTATTTAAAATAAGAGCTAAAAGAAAAAAAAAAGAAAAAAGTTTCCTCCTGTTTACCAATAAAGAATGGTTGTCATAGGGAGTATTTTCAAAGCCAAGGCTCGCGCTTGCTACGGGATCATATCCTGTATGTACTCAAGTTAAAATAAATATTAGTTGCAAGCACTCTAACTAAACCTTTTGCAAGAAATGTTTCTTTTCCTTTCTTCAGTATACACCAATAACTGAACTGAGTAATTTAAGATCAAAAGCCACAGTAAGTTGCGACAAACCAGTCCCCCAGTCCACAAACCACAGATCAGTTATGTAGGAGGAAAAAGGCATCTTGAATAACCAGAGATGCTAATTAGCTACAACTTCAATTGTTTGCAAAACTGCAGCCAAACCAGCATTTCCCTAGCATTTAGCGTGAGTCAGCATTGCTGCAACATTCCCTCTGTGGACGGAGCATACATATCGATCATCATGTTACCTTAGGAGACCTCTGATTCTGCTTTGTTTCTTTTATACAAAGAGGATTAATTTTGCAACAGCAGTTAGACTGCTGTATTATTGCAAATGATTAACCAAAAGAGTGCGAAACAGTTTCTCTGCTGCTGTCCACACCATGCTTAGTACAACGTATGTGGAAACATTCATCACAAATACAAAGACATTCTGCATCTTTTGGTTCTGTCAGGTAGCTATTGGATTCACTAGGTAGCTCCTAGCAGACCGAAAGAATTTGACTAAGGAATCAGCATAGTGAGAAAGGCTCAAATACTAAGAGATAGTGTTATTTAAGCTATTTTTACTCCCAAACATTCGATAGTAGTAGCAGTAGTAGTCTATTCAGATAAAGGAATTGGTTATTCTTCCAGAAACTAAAAGCCAAAGGGAGAAGCTCAAAACATTTCAAGATCCCAAATTAAGATGACAGACTTTGGCAGGCATAAAAGCAGAGGAGACGGAGCAGGACGAGGAGATCTATCCAGGCAGCATCCAGGACACATATTGGCAACATGCTTGAAGCAGAGCTGACTGCAAGGGGGTAAGATGAAATGTGCTAATGCTTGAAAGGACACCCTGCTAAGCATGCTGCAGGCAAGGTACCTCCTTCTCAGCACAGACTTTGCTTGATCTATCATGCCCTGAAGGAACAATCATCTCCTTTCGGTAGACCTAAAGTCTTAAGTCTTCTTTCAGAAAGTATGTCTCATCATTCCACTAAAAATCTTTTCTACGCCACACCACTCTGAAGAAACCTTTTTTGGAAGAACAGTCAGAATCTGGAGTGCTTTATCTGATGAGCTTGCTTTCATATCTTACACAGTTGAATTATTTCACCCCCGGACTGAAGAAAATACCTTTTCCATTGCAGACTCTTCTACTGTTCTCTTCACAGCAGATCAGAATGGTCTCTGCACTGGACAAACTAACAGTGCTCAAGTTGAGGATTTAGATGTCTGTTTCTACAAAGTTTGGTCACTCAGAAGCAAAATGTATCCAGTAGCTCTACAGTCATACTCTAGCATTACATGGCGCAGGGCACTATTTACCGGAGAAAATACATCCCTTAAAAAACCCATGCCTCAGAATAACGTTATGATTTAATTTACTCTAAGACCAAGTATCACTTTTACTGTGCAAATAGAGTGCCAAACATTGACTATCATTGAGACTCCAAAACTATCAAAACAGGCAAAAGTGAGCTATAGCTACCCTAATCACAAAGGAGCAGAGCGCTGCTTAACAGCTGTTACAATAGATATTAAGGATAGCCATGATGTATGCATTTGGTATTTCTGTAATTCCATACACTTAGTATATAGCCTGTACTTAAGGCTGAAAAGTGAAGGGAGTAAAGCAGCTGATTCTGAAGTACAGCATTTCTTAAGTATTTTGTATGACAGACACACAGCCCGCAGATGCATTTATACCACATATGGAGGCAAAGCATTAATGAAGGAGCAGAGATCATAGAATCATAGAATGGCATAGG